AAAAATTAAAGATAACGTCAGCGCTGACCACCTCGCGTGTGAAAAATTAAAGATAACGTCAGCGCTGACCACCTCACGTGTGAAGAATGAAACATAACGTCAGCACTGACCACCTCACGTGTGAAGAATGAAACATAACGTCAGCACTGACCACCTCACGTGTGAAGAATGAAACATAACGCCAGCACTGACTGAAGAATGAAAGGTATAACAAGTAAACGAGACATCAATACTTTATTTGTAAAAATACAAGTTAAAAATAATTCTACCGTCTTCAGGAAAGGGAGGGAAAAGATTTTTAAACTTTTACAAATAAATTATTGTGCAAGTAAATAACGTTGTTGTTGTGTCGTTTGATTAACTTTACTTGTATGAAAGACATATCAAGCTATCTCTTTGTATCCTCTCCACCATCGAGGTAACAACTTCTGCAAAAAGAACACCCCACGGAACAGTGATAATGATATAGATTGAAAAGCATTGCAAAGGAGATTAGTTTAGATTAGGCGTGACCAAGCCCGGACAGAAGATTGTATTTAATGAAGCCTGTGCTCTCTACAAGTGACAAGAAACGTAATATATATATAAACTAAATGCGTGTTTGTCTGCACCCTAACTCCTCCGAGCCTATTAGGCCAATCTTAACTACAATTTGTATGTAAACACTAAGAACTAAAGGGAATGTCCTAAGGGGGTCAAAATTGAACTTAACCCTATTTCTATTTTGTAGAGTCTGTTGGTTAATTACTCCCAGCCTGTTGAGTCAATCTCAAACAATCTTGGCAGGTTGACACTTTAGACAATGTTCAATATTCTAAGTGGATTCAAAGTGAAAATATGAAAGTTGATGGATTGTTTCTCAAACAACCATGCTTGTCTCATGGTCAATGACAAACAACCATGCTTGTCTCATGGTCAATAACAAACAACCATGCTTGTCGCATGGTCAATGACAAACAACCATGCTTGTCTCATGGTCAATGACAAACAACCATGCTTGTCTCATGGTCAATGAGATGTAGGGTGTTCAGGAGTGGATGTACTTAACCCATCACTTGAAGACTATTCAAGGGATGTACTTACTTAACCCATCACTTGAAGACTACTCAGGGGATGTACTTACTTAACCCATCACTTGAAGACTACTCAGGGGATGTACTTACTTAACCCATCACTTGAAGACTACTCAGGGGATGTACTTAACCCATCACTTGAAGACTACTCAGGGGATGTACTTAACCCATCACTTGAAGACTATTCAG